TGAGCCACCGCGCCCGGCCTAGACATTTACTTATTCGCTGTGAGCTCCTATGGGGAGGCCTGGCCCCGAGAAGCGCTGTGATGGGAACTTCGGGAGACGGAAAGGACACTTTTTATGCCACGAGGCAAAGGGGCCCTGCAGGTGCAATCTTCTCCAGGTGGAAAACCCCGGGAGACATCTCCAAATCCGTGCTGTTGTGAAATTCTCCTTCACATCTAATCACAATCTTCCCTGCTGATGTTTAAGACCATTTAGTTCTTTTTATATTTTATTTGTGAGACAGAGTCTCACTCTGTTGCCCGGGATAGAGTGAGTGCCGTGGCGTCAGCCTAGCTCACGGCAACCTCCAACTCCTGGGCTCAAGCGATCCTCTTGCCTCAGCCTCCCGAGTAGCTGGGACTACAGGCATGCGCCACCATGCCCGGCTCATTTTTTGAATATATGTTTTTAGTTGGCCAATTAATTTCTTTGTATTTATAGTAGAGACGGGGGTCTCGCTCTTGCTCAGGCTGGTTTCGAACTCCTGACCTTGAGCGATCCTCCCGCCTCGGCCTCCCAGAGTGCTAGGATTACAGGCGTGAGCCACCGCGCCTGGCCAAGACCATTTAGTTCTTACTGGAAAACAGCACGTCTCTACCTTCTGCCTGATCTCTCTTCTGAATCGAAAGCCCTCAATCTAAACGCCGGGAAGCATTTTCTTTCCCTGGCAAAAAGCAGCACAATTCTCTCACCGGAGCTCCACGCCGCCTCCCCGCTCGGTGGTGGTGATGGCGATGGGGGAGGGGGTGTTTGGGGCAGAGTTTGCAACCTCTGGCCAGGCTGACCCCACTTTCTGGGCGGTAAGAGCCTGCCAGCTAGGCTGGGGTAGCCCTGCGGAAAGTTCTGGGGCTTGGAGCCCACTGGGGACCAGGGAGCACAAGCTGAGCCAGGCTGGCCTTCCGGGCCCTCGGGTGGCGGGAAGGGGGCATCCCTCTGCATCTGGGCTCCGGCGCTTTCTGGACAAAGACCCGACCGAAAGAAAAAAGCCCAAGGGTGCCCGCAGGCTGGGTGGAAGCAGACGCCAGCCCATCTGCAAAGAGCCTGCTCTGGTCTGCAGGGCAGGAGCGAGGAGGGGGTCTCCTGGGGCAGAGGCAGCCTGCGATCCGGACATTTCCCCGGGGCGGGCCCCGGCCTGGGCCCGTGGTGAGCGGGGCAGCTACACAATTTGCAGGGCCCAGGTCAGTGCAAAATGAAAACACAGGGGCCCCCTTGCTCAAAAGCTACTGGGCATTTCAAGATCGAGACAGCAGAGCCTTAAACCAGGGTCAGGGCTCTCCCGAGAAAGGTCCCGTGTGTAGTTGGGGGGTGGTGAGATGAGATGCTCCACATGGGGACCCCCCCAACCCAGGGTTTGGTTCTGTGGTCCCTGGATGTCCCCCAGCGCGGATGAATTTTTCTTTTCTCTGGGAGCTATCTGTCCAGGCGAATTCTGCCCGGCAGCTGCTTCCTACCTCCCAGCCCCTGCCATTGCTATCGAGGTCTCTCCGCTGAGCTGCCCTCCCCAGCATTCCGCTGCCCTAATTCCTGCTCCTTTAGGTGCAGCAGGTGCAGAGAGTGAGCCTTGGGGCCGGTCGGACCCGGCGTCAGGCTCTGATTCACCAGACAGAAGCGTGGCCTTGGGAAGTTATCCAAAGCCTCAAAGTCTCAATCTTCTCTTCCATAAAATAGGCTAATAAAAGCAGCTACTGTGCAACTTGCTGTGAGGAGTAAGTGTGCTAATGAGATGCAGGGCAGGCACCTCCTGTCTGTCTGTCTGTCCCGGTGAGGGCTCCAGGCCAGAGTCCCTGGGGCATGCAGCGGCCACAGATGACAGTGGCGAGGTTGGTGGCTGCAGGAGGTGAGCTTCACCATGGCCAGTCTCCAGAAGGTCACTCCCTGGATGATCAGCTCCTGCAGGTGTGAGGGGGGCAGCCCTGGTGGCCATCCAAGAGGCTGGGTCCCATCTGTTCAGCCTTTGGACACCCCCCCTTCCCTCTGCACCAAATACCTGGCTCTCTTCCCCTCCTGGGTAGTCCTGAGCATGTTAGAAAGACCCAAAGAAGGTGTTTAGGGGGCTGTATGTGGTTCCTTCGGTGACTGTTCCCATGCATTTATTCTCATCTGGTTGTGGAAACCCTGCCGTCATTTCCGGGTCTATTTCAAGCCTTTCTCTTCCCTGCACTTAGGGAGGTGCCTGCCCCGCTCAGCGCCCCAGCCCACTTGTCCCTGGGGGGAGGGACTCAAGGGTGCTGAGCTTTCTTGCTTAGTCCAGATCCCTATCTGGGAACCTGTTGCTATGGAAACCACCGCCAGGGAAGCAGGATGGCGGGGAGGCTGGCACACGGGTTGGGCTCAGACCTTTCTCAGAGGCAGATTTTGGTTTATGTCTTATTTGGCTTTGTGTTTTGGTGGAGAAACACAACGCGCATACTTCCCCACGGCTTCCATTCTCCACTCTCACCCCCAAATGGTGAGTTTGGAGAATGAATGCATTTCTCCAGAGGGAACCGTAGGTCGTTTTTAGCCCTGGGAAGCTTTGAACAGGCCCCTGGAATCTGTGAAGATAAACAGGAGCCAGCGGGGCTGGGCTACATGCGACTTAAAATTGGAAGCGTGGGAGGCAGAGTGTGCTTTATATAGCCTGGGAGTGCAGGAGCCGAGTCCTGATTTATGAGGGGCCCAGGAAAAGCACATGAGAGCCCAGGTCATATTTATAAATTCCTCCCCCCCCCCCATGGATGGAATGTTGTTCGGAGCTGCAGGCAGATGGCACCTTTTGGGGGGGGGATGAGGGACTTAACTTGCTTAAGTCCAGTTATTCAATGACGGAAGGCGACGAGAAACGTCCTGTCGACCCTGAAGCTGGCCAGAGCTTCCTCGGGCCTCACCTGGACAGGTGGGGATTAGACGCAAGCCCCGGCCAGGTCCGTGGCAGGGACTACAGAGACCCCCTGCAGAGGGAGTCCTCTGCGTCTGTCCTTCCCGCAGAACTCAGGGACGTCCTGCCTTGTGTCACCCCTTCCGTCTGGCCGGTGGCTGGCATTCATGCCACGGCTCTGCTGCTCACAGGCCCCCAGGGGGCCGCTGCCCACCACCGCATGGACGCTCGGTCCCAGTTGCACCGGGCTCGGCCCCAAGTCTCCACCGGGCGGTGCCAACCAAGCCCGGCTCCCGAGGGCGGCCGGGGATTAGCTGGGCCAGCTCAGCCTGAAAGGCCTGTCCTCGCTTCCGTCCCTCCCCCTCCCCCCCGGCAGAAGAGTCACAACCCTCCTGCCTTGGTGCCAGTGCTCACCTGAGACCCCCTCTGAAGTCCGGCCTCTCCTGAGCCCACTCTGTGCACCTGTCCTGTCCTGGGGGCCCTGACGGGGCAGGGAGTGTGCAGGGAGGCGTCAGAGCGGGAAGGGTTTCCCAGTGGGCGCAGCAATCGCAGCTGTCACCTATGAGGCACCTGCTACGTGCCAGGTGCGCTAAGAACACGGCTCTCCTGGAGGCAGAGGGGCGCGAGGGCCACGTGCAAACAGGTTTTGTGGGGGGGGGCACAGCCCTGAGTGCAAACCCCAGTCAGCTGTGGGGCCCAGGCTGCTCCCCGGTTTCGGCGTGCTCGTTTGCAAGACAATTACATGCAGAAGAGCAGCCACCCCCCACCCCCCCACCCAGGGTGGCAGTGAGTCTCCGTGCAGGCCCGGTGCCTGGACAGTGCCTGCCCCCAGGCGGGGCGGCACAGGGCCCCTTGCTCAGGGAGGGTCCCAGCTGCACAGCAGCGGCAGGGAGGCCCGCTGGGGTCCCAGTTTCTGGGCTGCAGAGCACCTGCTCCTTGTTTTGCAAGTGCAGGAACACAGGTGTGGTGGGGGAGCAGGAGAAAGGACCCATCCACCCCCAGAACTCGACTCCCTGTGGAACCAAGGTGACCTCAGGCCAGGCCTCTGCACCCCCCCGGGTGGGCCGATCGGAGCCAGGGCGTGGGGGGGGGGGCGAGCAGGACTGGCCGTCCCCAGCTGCACTTCCTGGGGGAGGGGGGAGAGAAACATCAGAGCCGCAGCTGCACCCTGACCCACGCAGCCTTTCGAGGAGCGCTGCGTGGATTTCTAACTGCTGTTACTGCCACCACTGGTCCATTTTACTGAAAGTAAATATCTCCAGACTTCTCTCTTGGCTACACCCACTCAAATACAGGAATTTATTGCATTTTCGAGAACACACACACACAAATGGGGATCCCTGCCTCGTTTCAACCCGGGACAGTTTCAGCCGGGACCAGACAAAAGGAAACAGCGCCAGGACATGAGCTGAGCGTCTCGTTTATTCCCGGCCGCCGCCCCCCGCCCCCACGCCCGTGCATCCAAATCTCCCAGCTTCCGACGGACGAACGCAGGCATGTTGCGACTGACCCCCGGCCCGACTCCCGGCTTCCAACGCTGAGTCACGCGGCCTGGCCAGGACGGAACGGAGCGAGCTCCTGCTGCACGGAACGGGGCGGGGGTGGGGTGGGGGATGTTTCCGGGAGGCCTGAGCCCCCAGTCGCCAAAGCTCACCCCATCACCACTGCTCACCGCCCCCCCCAGGGTCACCTGTCACCTGCCCTCCCCGACCCGCAGGCCCGGCGCTGGCGAGAATTCTGGCGCGGGCCGAGGGCTGCAGCCCCCTCCTCGGGGGGTCGGGTGCTCGGTGGGGACCTGCCCGGGGAGGCCGTGAGGTGTCATCCTGGGGGACAGCGTTAGCCCACTGTCCATGCGGAGGAAGGTCCCCTCTGTGTCCCACGGCAGAGTGACACGGAGGGTGTCGGCTGGCAGGCCGGTCCCGGACGGGTGGGTGGGCAGGTGGGCTGAGCAGATGGAGACTCGGGAAGCCGGGTTGCATGCGTTGGCCATGCTGGGGAAGCCACACGTCCAGGGCACCTGGGGGGACAGGGGAGAGGACCCCCGAGGCCCGGGGCTCTCGCCGCAGAGGGAGGGTGGGTGGGGGCGAGGCGGGCCCCGCGGGCCTCACTTGGACACCAGCATGCGCAGGAACTCCTCGTAGTCGACCCGCCCGTCCCCGTCCGCGTCGGCCTCCCGCATCATCTCGTCCACCTCCTCCTCGCTCAGCTTCTCCCCGAGCCGCGTCATCACGTGCCTCAGCTCCGCGGCGCAGATGTAGCCGTTGCCGTCCCTGTCGAACACGCGGAAGGCCTCGCGGATCTCCTCCTCGCTGTCCGTGTCCTTCATCTTCCTGGCCATCATGCCCAGGAACTCGGGGAAGTCAATGGTGCCGTCCCCGTCCCGGTCGACCTCGCCCACCATGCCCTGCAGCTCGGCCTCCGTGGGGTTCTGGCCCAGGGACCGCATGACGGTGCCCAGCTCCCGCGTGGTGATGCTGCCGTCCCCGTCCTTGTCGAACAGGGAGAAGGCCTCCTTGAACTCGGCCACCTGCTCCTCTGTGAGCTGGTCCGCCATGCCGGCGGGCGGGGGTGGTGGCGGGCAGAGGCCACTGTCAGTTGTCGGCTCCCTGGGCGCGCTCCGGGCTGGCGGGCGGGCGGAGATCGCGAGGGCTGCCCGGCCGGCTTTCCAGCCCCGGCTTGAACTGCTGGGGCTTAAGAACAAGCGGAGGCCTCCCTCCCCCCTCTCCCGCCCCCCAGGATCTGCAGGTGCCCCCGCCCTGCGGTTGCCCCGGGCTGGTCCTGTTTAGACAGGCGTCCAGGGAAGGAGCCGGGCCGGCTGCTCCCCGAGCTGGCGGTGACACCCCTGTGCCAGGGGCGGCCGCAGGACCGCAGGGCCGGCGGGAACCACCCTCATAAAAGCTTCACTGAGCAGGGTGTGGTGGGCGGCCCCTGCTGGAGAGGCAGACCCCCGCCCCCCCAACCCCCGCCCCGGGGCTCTCTCTGCTCTGCGTCCCCCCCCCCTCACCTCCCCATCTCCCACCAGCCTGTCTCCCACCCCTCGCTCTGCAAGGTGGCCGGCCGGAGCTGCCCCTCTGCAGTGACGCTTTGGTGCAAAAGGAAAGGCAGAAATGTTGAGGCTGGCAGCGAGGCTGTGTGTGTGTGTGTGTGTCTGTGTGTGTGTGTGTGTCTGTGTGTGTGTGTGTGTGTCTGTGTGTGTGTGTGTGTGTAGAGCCTCAGACGGTTTCCAGGGCAGGAAGAAGGTTTCCCCTTCACAGAGAAGCAGAGTGTTTTCTTTCTTTTTTTTTTTTTTTTTTGAGACAGAATCTCACTCTATTGCCCAGGCTAGAGTGAGTGCTGTGGCGTCAGCCTAGCTCACAGCAACCTCAGACTCCTGGGCTCAAGCCATCCTCCTGCCTCAGCCTCCCGAGTAGCTGGGACTACAGGCATGCGCCACCATGCCCGGCTAGTTTTTTCTTTCTATATATATTAGTTGGCCAATTAATTTCTTTCTATTTATAGCAGAGACGGGGTCTCCCTCTTGCTCAGGCTGGTTTCGAACTCCTGACCTCGAGCGATCCAAGGCCCGCCTCGGCCTCCCAGAGTGCTAGGATGACAGGCGTGAGCCACCGTGCCGGGCCCAGAGTGTTTTCTTATCCTCAGACTAGACACCAGTGAGGGAGAAGGCTCTCCTCCAACCCATTCACTCACTCTCGCTTTCTCAGACACGTTATTGAGCGCCTACTGTGTGCGGGAATGCAGTGGGAAGGGGCCGGATGCCCCGTCCTTCCAGGGTCACTGGTAGGGCAGCGAGTTGCCTGTGGCGGTGAGTAAACCAAGAGAGAAAGCAAGCAGGGTCGTTGGAGGTTTCTGAGATTCCCAGGAACGTCTCTGAGAGGAGACTGGGGGGCGGCGGGGGGCGCTCACCGGGGCAGCCGTGTGGGCCGCACGCCCCGACGTGAGCATGCCTGTGACTGCATGCACAGAGGCAGAGAGACTGGCGACCCCCCGGCCCCGCCTGGCTGCCAGAGCGGTGCTCCGCGGACCTGAGACCCAGAAGCATTTCTTCCGCCCCTGTTGCCATCTGTGCTCAGGAAGCAACTCGCGGCCAGTGGCGGGAGGGACGTGGGCACGTGGCCGGCGGAGCCTCCCGGACAGCCCGGGGCCGGGGCCAGGCCCTCGGTGGACAAAGACCTAAGAGCCAGCGAGGGATCCGCCGCTCGGTCCTCCCGCCTTGCCAGGGACCAGGCGTGAGAGGTCGAGGCAGGGACCCGCCGGGTCAGGGCTGGGTCGAGGTTCCTCGAACGCACTGCCTCTGCCTGATGAGTCTTTCCGAAAGAGCCGCTGGCCGAGGGCTCCTCCAGGATTTCCAACAGGGTCGGCTCAGCCAGCCCTGGCTCACGTGGGGAACTGCGCAGTGAGGGGCTGGGAGGGCTGTCACAACCCACGAGGGGTTGGGAAACGGTGGCAGAGGGAATGTTTTGCAGTCCCAAGCTCGCCTCTCTCCCCGCGGCCTCTCGCCCCAAACCTGGCTTGCTTTTCCTTCCAGGATTCACGACACATTTTGGTCTCAGGACCCATTTAAACATTCATTCATTCATTCATTCATTCATTCATTTATTTTGAGACAGAGTCTGACTCTGTTGCCCAGGCTAGAGTGAGTGCCGTGGCGTCAGCCTAGCTCACAGCAACCTCCAACTCCTGGGCTCAAGCCATTCTCCTGCCTCAGCCTCCCGAGTAGCTGGGGCTACAGGCATGCGCCACCATGCCCGGCTAATTTTTTCTATATATATTTTTAGTTGGGCGATTAATTTGTTTCTATTTTTGGTAGAGACAGAGGTCTCGCTCTTGCTCAGGCTGGTCTCGAACTCCAGACCTAGAGCGATCTGCCCACCATGACCTCCCAAGGTGTTAGGATTACAGGTGTGAGCCACCTCGCCTGTCCCCGTTTGAACATTTGAAACTTACTGAGGACTCCAAAGAGCCTGCGTTCATGTGGGAGATCGATCTATCTATCTATCTATCTATCTATCTATCTATCTATCTATCTATCTATCTATCTACCTACATATACAGACACTGTATTTGAAATTAAAACTGAAAACTATTTAAATATATTTTATGTAGTTATAACTTAAACCATGGAAATAAAAAACCTATTGCTTGTTCACATAAATCATATGTTTGTATGATAAATAAATTTGTTTTCCAAGACAAAGAATAGGGAGAAGAATGGCATTAAAAAATAGTTTTGCAAAGCTCTTTAACATCAGCTCTGCAGAAGCGGATTTGCACCCGCACTCGGTCTGTGCAGCGAGATGCTGTCTTGAAGTGTGCGGTTCTGCAGCTTCAACAGATACCCGGGCGAGGAGAAAGGAAGCATTTAAATAGACTTTTCAGGCCGGGCTGGGTGGCTCACACCTGTGATCCTAGCACTCTGGGAGGCCAAGGTGGGAGGATCGCTTAAGGTCAGGAGTTCGAAACCAGCCTGAGCAAGAGCGAGACCCTGTCTCTACTAAAAACATAGAAAGAAATTAATTGGCTAACTAAAAATATATATATAGAAAATGTTAGCCAGGCATGGTGGCGCATGCCTGTAGTCCCAGCTACTCGGGAGGCTGAGGCAGGAGGATGGTTTGAGCCCAGGAGTTTGAGGTTGCTGTGAGCTAGGCTGATGCCACGGCACTCACTCTAGCCTGGGCAACAAAGCGAGACTCTGTCTCAAAAAAAAAAAAAAATGCATATGGGGACACCAACGGCCTGTCTGCATTGCCCATAGTGTGGACCAGCGACTTCTGCAACTAGCTGCCTCCCAGGGCCGGGCTGCCCCGCCATGCACTCCCCTTTCTCTGTGTCCCAGCTCACGGCCACCACGGCCGCAACAGCTGCGTGTCCTGCCTTCCCACGAAGGCCTGTCCCAGATCTGGCGTGTGACCAGGCTCTCTTTGGAGGACTCCGGTCCGTCCAGAGTGAATCATCCAGATTCCCGCAGGGCGGGGCCCTGGGCTGGGCCTCTGTTGGAGTTCAGGGAGGAGATCATTGTTCTGGAACAATGATCTGGAGGGCTGGGGTTGGCTCAGCTGGGATCTGATAAATGCCAAGACAGCTCGTCCTCGGGGAGCTCGGCCTCCCCTCCCCAGAGTCTGCAGGGCCCCTGCACCTTGCCACCCCCGCCTGGTCATGCTGGGGAGGGTGGTTCGGGCGTGGGATGGGGGTGACGAGGCCAAACAGCGGGGTCGAGTTGAGTCTTTCATCCTCGCTCCAGGCCCCGCTGTTCTCCCCTGGCGGGCGGTGGGTGCAGGAGGCTGGCCCCGGCCGCCCTGCCTGCGGCTGCCTGAGCTGCTGTCTCAGCACAGGCGGGCCCGGCGCTGCGGGCAGCTCAGCGCCTTACGCCAACCGCCGCAGCGGGCGCCCTGGCCTTGGCCTCTGCCTAGTGTCTGAGAGCAAGTTTGATTCAAGCAGGATCAAAGGGTCGCCCCCAACCAGAAGCAAATTAGTAATAGGTCTCATGATAAACGCAGCCACCTAAGCCAAGATGTGTTCTCCGCCTTCTTCGCTTCCTGGAAGAAGGGCTGTTTCTTGGGAACGAGATCAGAGTGGGAGCTGGCTCTCGGCCCCCTGCGAGCTGGGGGCGGGCGGTGCAGGGGCTGGCGGGGGCTGAAGGGAGGAGCAGGTGGGTAGGGCAGGGAGCACTCACCGGCCCTGGGAGCTGCTCCTCCGGCTTCTCAAACTCGGCGCTCGACGCTTTGAAAAGAGCGACAACCGGCGGCACGTTTCAGATGGGGCGATGTTCCTGAGAGGCTTGATTTCCACCTGTGCAGATCTCTTCACACCAAGATGCACCTGACAACTGGCCGAGCAGGAGCCTCTGCCACTTTGACCCCCCGCCCCCCAACCAGAGGGGTGGGAGAGCAAGCTGACCCCCTGGTGCATGTAGAGCTCACCCAGCAGCAGGGAGAGCTGTGGTTCCAGGTTCCAGCCTTTGAAGTTTATCATCGAGATGAAAACCTTAGCGATTGATCCAGGAAGGGTGTGCATGGGTGTGCATGCGTGTGTGTGCCCACACGTGTGGCTCAAGCATCCGTGTCACAGCGTGTTGCTGCAGGCGAGCGTGTGACACGCACGGGGAGGCAGCCCGTGAGCTCGGTGCCTGGATGAGGGACTTGAAGGAGGCGAGGGAGGGAGGGAGGCAGAGGGGTCAGGCAGAGTGCAGCCCTGTGTCCCCAGCATTTAGGCTAGCGTTTACTCCAGTGGTTTTGACCCAGGGTCCCCGAATCCCCGGGTTCTGCAGAGCAACTTCGAGAGAGGTGCGTAGGGGAGGGAGGGGAGAGCAGGGGCCTCCTCCCCTCCCCAGCGCCAGGCAGGGCAGTGCTGCTCTCCACTGCCTGTGTGCACCGAGAGCCACTCTGTGCTAGTGCCATGCCGGCCTGAGGACCTCAAGGTGGTTTCCGCAAAGCCCTGTTGGCCAGGAGCTCAGGGGCTGTGTTTCCTGCCAGGCCTGCCAGGGACGCACCCTCCTTGCCTCCCCGGGCCCCTAAGTCCTCGTGCTGAGCTGAGTTCTTGGGAGGGACGGGGTTAAAACTGGGACAGGCGTTTCCTCTAACAAGACGCTAGCGGGTCAGCACCTGCAGGG